AGTACGTAAACACAATCTCACAATAGTCCTGGAAACTCCTCCAGCAGCACACCAGAAAGTTGCAGAGCCATTTAAAAGTGAAAGTGACTTGAATTTGAAATAGCTTCCAAGCTCCCATGAGTCCAGAATATACCACATAGGAGAAAGTGATCTGCAAGACAATGGAACCACAACAATGGCAGAGAAAGTATAATCTTGCATGCTTGGAGTGTAATATGTATTGTCTAGAATACAATGCACAAAGGCTATTCTCTCGGGCCATTGTTGGTTCCCTATCGGTGTGTGCACTTGGCCAGCAGGCTGGCTGGGGTGCCAGAGGGGTCAGGTCACCCAGACGTGTGCTTTATGTGCACACCTGGGCACTTCTGTGTGAACTTCAGCACTTGGGCGCCAGTTTACCTGCCATAGTTACAATGCAAGAAACTTAATATGCAAAAGGAGCATTGCGTTGCTGAGGGGAACGGCATCACAAGGACGTGGAAGTTGGACTGCTGCCATATTGTGATAGAATTCAGTTCCTTCAGAGCAATGTTTGCATGTCAATGACCTTTCCAAAGTTTTGATTCCTGCGGTTTTCCCCATTTTCCACACCGCTTGTCTCGTACAATTGAACATGAGAATGTCACAGTGTGTGAGGGCCTTGGCACGAACAGTCCTCTATTTGTCTTCACGGATATTCTGTTGATTTAATTGTCTTTATCAGAGAAATCTCCTGCTAATTTGGTGCAATATTGGTAAGCTGTTCAGATTTGATGAGTCCACTCTTTATAGCCAAACAGATAAGAATCTCGGCTGAATATTACACCGCTGTCCTTTGGTGGCTGTTTGGATCATCTGCAGCAGACAGGTCTGGCTGTCAGGTTGATGGAGGTGATACGCTGCAGTTGATTGCATCCTACTGCCCCAACTGTGATTGATCGGCAGTGCATAAAGGGCATGAATGGGAAGAAAAACAAATGCTGCCCAACGTTTGTGGCTGTAACAGTGTGATAAGTGGCATTAACATTTCATCAGGCAGCAGATTTGCATCACACTGTCTGTCCCTGAAGGTTTGTCAGGACCTGATGTTGTTGCTGGTTTTGGTGGCTGCAGTGTTGCATGGTCTCTAACTTTTAACACGAGTCAGATTAATGTTTTTTATCTAAAGACCTGGTATAGTCTGGAAGAAAACAGTACACAACATTTATGTAAATTGTAATGTACTGATTTGACAAATTCCAAGAGCAACAGACAATAACTAGTCACAGTGGGATGCTGCGGCTAGTGGTCATAAGGCAGATGGTTCGTGGATGTGGAATAGAGGGAACTAATTACGGCACGTTTATTGCCGACATGAGATCGATATTTCTTCGTTTCATTTGTTCTTTACTTTTTATAACTCTTAAATAGCATAGTGGGGGAGCTTACTTGCCAGACTGGTGATATCGTGTTGTGGAATATATTGAGGTGGCACTGGTATCGCAGATGTTTTTGAGGGCAGAATTTTATACACTTTCTCGACTTGCTCCATTTTCCACCATGTGTGTCCTGGATCCTTTATCTCATCATTGTGTGAACGCAGAGATCATTCAATTGACCTCTGTCATTGTAAAAAAAGTAAACAGCTATTCACAGGATGGGTAGAATTGTGGAACAGTCCATAAAAGATACAGTCTGCAAGTGGTCTCTAAACATCAGGAGGGACCATTTGCTTTCACAGTGTATTTTCTGTTCCTCCTGTTACTTTTTGTCCTGTAAATGCTGTCTTTATAATCCAGAAATTTTATTTTAGGCGAAAATGACCATCTGTGGATTTTATAATGATAACAACTACATGGACAACTGTCACCCGGGTTTGGTTCACTGATTTTCCAAAGTTACATCTGTTGTTAGCAGAATGTTTGTCCATGAAAAATTTCTCCATCATTAGAGGAGGTGTAACTTTGGGAAGTTCAGTTGTGTGCACTTCACCAGGGAGCCTGGTCCTTTCTCCTACAGCTGTGAGGATCCCAGCCTCAGCTGAATCAGTCCTGGGAATGTGGGGATCCATTCCCTGGAGAAGTCACCTTGATGAGACAGTGATGCTGACTTCTGAACAAGGCAAAAGAATCACCCTGTCCCACAAAACCCAGCAATTGTGCTGAGAGGCCATTTGTTATAATCTCATGTTCAGCCGTGAGTTACGATCATCTGTCAGTAGTCATTCCACCTAGAGCAGCCTGATGCTAGGAGGGGACAATTTCACTCCTGTCGGGCACCACCTCCAACATCAGCACCACCCCAGGTCACATGTCGCCCTTGGCCCCTGACAGGAACAATTTCAAGACACAGACTTTGTTTCTGTCATCGTTGACCTCCAGGTTGCCCCATGCTGTTTGAAAAATGACTGTCCTACCTAATCTGCTCAGACCCATATTAATCAGTGACTGCATCCCTGGAAAAATCTTCTGAAAAGCCTTTAGACTAGTGCAGCTATTCAGCTAATTCCTAGTTATGGACAAAATCCTGTCCATGTAACAGCATTAAGGCATTTGGACTATTGGCAGGCACGGAGGGAGGGTGAAAGGGCTCCATAATTAAGTAGATCTACCCATAGACTATGTCTCTAACAGCTATTGTTGGCAGCACGACCAAACATGGGCCCTTTGTGGTGCTGACGACAAGGCCGGGTGGAGATTGCATGTGAGAGTGTGCCATCTGTTGTGAGGCCTACCTCACAATTATTCACCATATTTGGACATCAAAGCGGCGGAGGGATTTTGTTAGTGAGATTTCTTACTCCTGCTGCATGGGTGTAATGGAATTTTCTCCTTTGAGCTTCGGGAGGTAATTGTGTGGTTTAAAATGGAACTGGGAATGAATTTCCTTTGCAGGCTGCTTTTGTGGTTTTCAATAAATCTTTGATGAAGTAAGAGCCTTTCGGTGTTCATCTCTGGTTATGTTTGCAGATACCAAACATTAGTTCCCATTGATACAATATGCATACCTATTCAACCTAGGTAATCAGTAAAGACTGAGCTGCTTTAATATGCTTTAAAGATGTTTTGCTAAGTACACATGGAGTTTGTGTGCACTGCAGGACTTTTCAGGGTGTTCGCTCGGTGGAAACCAGTTACCATACGTTTCCCCAGTGCAGAAGAAAGACTGTGATAGATGCATACATTATGATGCTGGCAGCTGTTGTGGTTCCCTTGTCCCACTCTTTCTTACCTCTTCTTTGTGTGCTTTGTCTGGTAATCATGCTTTTAGTTCACCATATGTTGCCTAGTGTTGTACAGTCTAGTAGAGCACAGTTTACCTTGGTTATCTGTTGCTATGGCAATGCTGTGTTGCCAACATACATGCCCAACTTTTCCAGGTACCTTGCTCCACCATTGTTCGCAGATCCTCTGAGCTCCTACTGCAGACAAATCCCCTGTAAGGGTTCAGCGGGGCAAGAAGGGCAGGTTACATGGCCAGGGTAGCTCAATCTTCTTTTGTGTGCAGATGCTATCATTTCCATCATTTGGATACAGTCTGCATTCCAGTGCTGCAGACCAATAGTCGGCTCCTTAGAGGTCAGCACGTGCCATACCTATACACACACACCAGGCCTGCTGACTATGTATGAAGGCTGTGGTCCTGTCTGTTCTTGTGGCCTCAGCCTCCCACTGGGCCATGGGAAGAGCCACACGTCTACCAGCCTGCCTGTCTGGGAGAGGGACAGTCACTCTGAAAATAGGTAGTTTTCACTGTTCACCATTGGTGCTATGGATTGCCTCACCCCTATCAGCAGTGCACTACATGTACAATGTACATGTAATAGTTTATTAGATTGAAGTCACCTTTCACTGTTACAGTAGTCTACTCACTTTTGGCAAAAAATGTGCAGTCAGTGTAGCTGGAAACCTTGACATGGTCTGACATTCAAGTCATAAATTCAGGAAGATTTCTCCCCACAGTTTTAGTATACAATAGTTGGTCCCATTTGAATATGCCTTCTCTGAGAGAAGAGCTCCTTAGAAACTCAAGGACTCTTGCCAATTGTATTTTCAGCAGTATAATGCCACTTTCTTGGAATGGGGATTATTTGCCTACTCTCAAAGCATCCAGCCCCTTCCATACCATCTACATGTACCCTGGCTGAAATCATACACTGTCTGATGTTTGTTTGTACTGATGATTGCAAAGCTTGCACTCCCCTCAAACAATCTCCCCAACCTGTCTTATTTTCTAATCCATCTTAGAGTAATTCCTACTATGACATACTTCCAGAATTTATATTTCCAGCTTCCATGTGCTTTCCCTTAATATTCCTTTAGCCGTGTATAAGCACTGAGAAAGAAGGTAATCCGAAGGATCTTTTTTAATCTTCTTAAGGTTTTTACTGTGTAGGATTTCAGCTGTGCCTTGGTATGTTGTTTAATACCTCACAGAAGAGCTCTGGCACAGAGGTGCATTTACATAATGGACAAGTACAGGGGCAGGTTGTGTGTACATGGAACATCTTATACAAGTTGTATAACATAGAACTGAACGTTTGATTTCCATCATGAAGAACACAAGGTCATTGCTTCGCATACAAAACACACTCTGAAATGGGCCAGAAGTCCAAGAGGAAAATGGGGAGACTAATGTAGTTCCCAAAGACACTTCTACAGGAGAAGATTGTCTGGACCCAGGGCAGCCCCACATGGAGTGTGCTGTGCATGGGGTAGATTTGTTTCCTTACACGTTCACAACAACACACATGCACACTTGTGTAAAGAAACCGAGGTCAATCAAAAAGTGAAAATAACACTTTAACGTCTTGCAAATCTTTGCTGGGATAATTCTATCTATCTCTGCAGACTGGATGAGTAAAAGAATAGAACCAGACCCAGAACTGAATAGACCCAGAAAAGATGACTAGAATGAATGACACTGACATAGATGTGCAAGATTGAATGGTAAAATGGATGGAGATGAATGTATGTTTTTCTAGACATATTGTTAAAGAGTTTAATCAAACATGAAGAGACCTTGACACATCCTTGCTTCAGCTATGAGGAGAGGGCCAAGTATGTGGAGACCATTGTTCAGCAGCACAAAGACCTGACCACTTTTGAGGAGTTCTCTGCCAGTGTGTATGCACCAGCCATGGGCAAAGGTGCAGAGGCCAGCTCAGGTCAGTTGCAGAGCACTCACACAGTGGCGTGGAAGTGAATACCAGAGTAGGTGTGTATGGATGGTTTGTTTGTTGTCTGTCTTGTGTTGTGTTGTGCCTGCATATATTTTTACATGTGGGTCTGTAAGTTGTAGTGTAGCTAAACTTTGATCTTCAGATGTAGTTGACTTTTAAAAGATTTAGCTGACATGCACCTCGTCAGTCACTCTTTTGTGTTGCCATGATGTAACTAACCTGGGGCTCTGTCCAGCACCTGTCAGCAAAAAGTTCACCGTTGATAAACGGAAATCAAACTTTGCAAAATGGAAATCTTGAAACTGTGTGAAATAGCATTTTAGAGGGTTACAATTTCAAAGCAAGACTACGCTCACCTGTAGTGCTCAATAAAGAGTTTTGCTCCATCTATCCGAGAAGGTGAACAAAGTTTAGAGCTGAAGAGAGCCCTGAGTGAGACTGTAAGGTAATCCATCTGTTTGGCTCTATATAGACAAGTAGAGTAAACCTATGACAACTCCATGTACCAGTCATGTTTGATTGACATTTGCAGGGAAACATAATCTTTAAAAAGCACCATGTTGTTGCTATGTGGAGCAAACTTCAATGATGGTTAAGAAAATAGAATGACTGCCTTACTTACACATGGAAATAGCAACCATTGTGGTGTTGTAGGAAACAGGACAGTTTCACAATGCATCTCCTTTGTGCCTCATACCCCAAAGGCTGAACCCAGCAAGATGCAATGGAAAATCTGACATACTTCTAATCAATCAGTAATGTTCCATAGCAGTGGTGTTGATGTTATGTGTACATAGCTAAAGGTGCATTAGCAGATTGGTTTGGTACGATGGAGAGGTTTTAGGTTTCCCCAGTGAAAGGTAATCATAGATATAAGGCAGGATGCTTGCAGTGCCATTAGGCTTTATGGATGCTTGGACACCTGAACTTTTCAAGAGGGAATGTTGTGAGCAGCCATTGCCACTGTGTTCATTGCACTGCTTAATGTTGAATCATACATACTATCATATTTCCCAGCAGGAGGTCACGATGGGGCTTTAGTCACCACATCTTTCTATTTAGATAGTAATTCCACTATCTTCAGGGCTGCAGTTTCAGCTTTTCCATTTTTCATTTCTAGGACATAAGGAGTGGGATAAGTAGTTGCTACCATTTCTTTCATTGATACTGAATATTGTTTTTTCTCAGAAAACAGTCTGAATGTTCATCCAGTTGCATCATGACAAGTGGTAGCAGGAAAAACATGACCATTTTTACACTAAGACTGTCAATATCCAATCATTCCATAAGGTATTAAGTTGGGAACCAGGTAACTGGATTGACGCAGCCCAATCTTGACAATGTAGGAGTTTGTTTTGTGGGCTTGTAATCACAGATCACCTGTCAGAGCCAGGCGCCCATCATCAGAGGAACAGCACCATTACCACAGGGTAAATGGCATCCTCATGTCAGCGACCTCTCCATAACCTCCCACAGCCGTCCTAACGACACAGCGCTGCCGTGTAACAGGTGGTTGAACAGGAGCCCAGGGAGCGGGATGTGTGCGGAGCAGAGTCATTACTAAATGGAGAATCCTGTGGAGGATATTTACAGCTCCCCGGTGTGTTCAGACCTACATGACGGGGGCAGGAAGCCTCCTGAGTGTTGTTGGCGCACACGGTGTGGGCGGCGATGACATGCACTAATGAAACTGTGCTAATTTACCCCGTAGTGCACATATGATGACAGGGACCACATGACAGTGTAGGTAGAGTGTAGGGCTTGACACAGGTATTCCCGTCAGCTGTGAGTGGGCAGGTGGTTGGGAGAGGCCACACCTCTGTTAGCCTGCCTGTTTGTACTGTGTCTATATGCTGAAATCTCTTCCCTTTCAGTACAGTCGGATGGGCGGCACCAACAGCTTTATTAAGAGCAATTTATTGTCTCATAATTAATATTGAGATTTTCTCTACTGACTATGATTACCTTGTGCCCACCACCAGTGTGTGTGTGTTTGCCTCCACAGTGTAGGATTGTGATGGATTGAGGGGTTTTGCACGAAACCATTTTTTAAATGTCACGATGACTATAACTGTTTACTAGACAAACATATTTCTGAGTGAAAAATTCCCCAAACATCCCTCTGCACTGAGCATTGGTTATTCATGTCACGGCGCTCGGCTATAATTAGGTCTCCTGCCTGGTGACTTTTGTGTCATTTCAGCAGTACTGCCTGACAAACTATGAATGTAAACACAATGTAATATTGCCTTAAATGTTTGCTTGCTGTTCAAGTGGCAGAATGCCAAATTATGATTTCCCTGCTGACATCTCCATCTGCATCCATGTGAACATTATAATGAGTTGGATCCATAGATGTCAGGATCTGATCATTTACATTGTTCTCTCAACAGGTGGAAGTAGGTCAGGTTGTTGTCGAATGATTATTTTTCATCTGTATACCTTTATATCGGAGTATGAACATCTCAAACTTGAAACACACAATCATGTGAGGATCTGATCTTACACAGGAGGTAGCCAGCGTGACGCGAGCCAGTCGGATGTTGGGCAGGGTGGAGCGGAGAGTGAGGGCGGGGTGACTCTGCGGCACCAGCAGGGCTCCCCCAAACTCAGGCACAGGATGTCCATGAAGATCAGGAGAAGCTCGGGCCCCAAACTGCCCCACAGCAGCTCCAGCAGTACCACCCCTCCAGACAGCCCCAACGTCAGGGGCAAGAAGACATAGGACCTCCGTCTGTACATGACACTTTGTACTCAGAAATGTATCTTAAATGTTGTATTATAGGAAAACAAGCCAATGTACAATCCTGCTACCATAGTACAAATGTAGTTGTGTTGCTTTTGCTCTTATCAAACCTTCAGATCCCTCTTTTCAGTATTCTATACAGCTTGTTGATGAGACTTCAGTACCAAGTGGTATCAAGTCCTAGTGAATGTCCAATCTGAGTTATTCTATGTCCTGATCTTGCCTGTAACAGTATCCATGATAGAACCACCTTAATTCCCTAGGTTCTTTTTGAACGCGTAACCTTTCAATTGACATCTTCTTCATATTCCATATCTTCAAGACTTTAATGTATATCATTAGTCGCTAAGTTAGCCAGATTTAGTTGAGCCAGATTATGCTAGATGTGGTGCCAAATGTGGGAAGAAAAAATACTTGTGTTACAAAATTGTCTCCAGTCAACTAACCCTATTGGGACTTAAGACAATGAACAGTTGATATTTTATATGTATGAATGTTTGAAAATCAATGTTAGATATACAGTACACCACAAAGGGGTTGTGCTTTAGCTTGCTTGGATCAGCAACAAAAATGTTGTACAAAGGTGTTCCCTTTAAAAATGTTATAATGAAATCCTTCCAGTACATAACAAAAGCCTATACTGTATGAATCCAGAATGTTCTGTAAATATGTAACAATATGAGAAAAATTCTCAGATGATGCTGCAATTGTCTGTATATGACCGCTTTATCCAGAGGAAGGGGGACGGAATAAAAAGACGAAATTTTGTATCATTAAAGAATTGGCTGCACCAGCGCTCTGCAAAACATTGTGGAACCAGAAAATCATCTCTCTGTACATTGGTAATTTGGGGCTGATTTCGTTCCTGAATAAAAATGGAAAGCCTATAAACGACACAGTGTGGCGTGCATTGTTGTTTGGGAGTCATTTCCATATTAAGTCCGTTACTTACCAGGACGTTCATAAAACAGAAATGGGGGTCTATGTTCCTAATGCTGCATTAGGTAATATTCAACGGATCTGCGTCTTTCCGTTTGACTTGTTTTCCTTCAGTTTCCTGTTTTTGCCTTATGAGGTCTTCTGCTACTGCGACAGTAACGAACACTCAACCTGAAACGGTTTACATTATGTATATGTGTGTATTAATTGATTCTGATTGTCTCCCTTTGATTGAATATCCCTCCAGCCTGACAATGTCCGGGTGAAATTGCCCTGTAATTACCTCAGTATTGAATTGACAATGTTGGACATATCGAGTCTTAACGGCAGTGACGGAAAAGTTAGCATATGATAAACAGAGCGGGCTTTGCGTTTTCGACGTGATCGTGAGGTAGCATTTATTTTTTTCGACCCAGGAGATGGAGTGGTACTGAGTGAAGTAACCTGTTGTTGGATCTATGTGGGTTGCTGCTATTTCCAACAGTACACGTCATTGGCTAAGCCGACTTTGCCAAGTTTTACAGGTTGTGCGAGGCGGCGTTCCCACGAGAACCAAGGTTACGCTGCGGTTGGAGCCGCGTTCTCCGCCGCCCTGTCATTGTCCGACCCCGGGCGCTGCTAATGAGGCCTGTTGTTGGGACCATTACGCCCGGCCTTTCCGTGTCGGCGGCCTGGGACAGGCACAGGGGCGGCACGTGCCAGGTAGGACTGCGCCTTCTGTGCACCTGCGCCAGGCGTGGGAAACACCTAGCATCGGATGCAAATTCAGCACGCTGGACAGGTGTCTTCGAAAAGGTGCAGATATAGCAAGAACAAAGCAAATGATAGTCGTAGTCGAAATGTTAGACATGCAAACCGCCGAAGATGATTTCTGTCGACCCTAATTTGTCAGTGTTAAGTCGTGCGTCCCAAACTTTGCCCCTCTGGGCTATTGTGAGGGTGGCGCCTCATGCACCTGTCAACTGGTGAAACTGTACTGCCCTAACAGTGAATAAACCGCTAAATTAACCCAGCGCTAAAACGTAAAACTTGCAAACCAATGGGAGTGTGAGTTAGATGTATAAAATATATGTTTCTTCGATGTGTCGCTAATGGCGAAACTTTCCCACCGTTACGTTAACTGTAGTGTGTGTATCATTGATAAGAGGGATGGATTCGGGTGGGATTACGGTACTCTCCGCGTCCCTTCCTGGCCGTGCCTTTGTTCCCGGCAGTCTACCTTACAATCCACCTGTCGGGCGAACTCGTGGGAAATTCACCGACTCCAAAGCACAAGTGAAAGTGGAGGCGTGGCTAGCCTGGGATTTAACCACACTTTCGCGTCCCCTCTCGTTTGGAGCTTTTGTTCTTGCACACATGCGTGTCTCCAGCTTATTATCATATCACCGCCGGAGGGCACGTTCGACCGTTCCTTGTTGTTTTATTTTGCCCGGCTATATGGATTAGTGGAAGGTAAATCCTAACCCATGATTGGCAGAGAAAAGATGGCTATGTTCTCTAAGTAGAAGTGATTTCGTCGCCAGTAGTCCATCTGCAGCAAAACTCGCCTGAGCATCAAGTGTTATGAAGCGTGCGCTCGGGAGAATAGAGTCGTTAAATGCGCGATATAAGATAAATTGGCGGTGATTTGGAGTCGGCTTAACCCGTAATTTTCCCAACCGTGTGTGAACTGTCGATCACAATATCAAAGGAACGGCATTCTGAAATTTGTGATCATCTTGTATACGCGGTTTTGTTGGAAATTGGCCGTTTTGGGGCTGTAAAACCTAGGCACCATGCAATCAGGGCTTAACACAAAGACTAGCGCGTATATAGCCATGTATGGTTCTTGAATTAATGGCCGGCTTTGCCGCGCTCTATCATTTTGATGTATTACATTATGATGACAAACACTATCACGTAATGCTTCATCAGTGGGGCGGTTATCCGACACCAGAGGGACTCCACTCTGTACACGGGCCATGTCAATTCTTCACCTTTGTGCACACACGAAAATACACCGACGGTGCGTATACCGTACCTGGGGCAATCTAAGAATTTCTCCGTAACTATTTCCTGGGAAACATTGCTGCGAAGTGGGTTAATTTGTCGGGCAGGTGGAGCAGGTAACCGTTACATGACAGCCCGTTCCCAGGGGTCACCTGGCCGCGGTGGTGGCGACTGACTCCTCCGTGAGTGAGTCATGGCGCACCGGGGGGATCAATCAGGGTTAGACCCGGCCAGGAGCAACATACCGCCGTCTTACACTGACACACAGCAGTGATGGATGCGGTCGTGTCGCCGCTGCCTGCCCGGCTCTGGGCGTCAGAAAGGATCGCGGCTTGCCGACAGGTGATAGCGCCAGTCAGGAGCGCACCTTACCGTGGGGAATACACTGGCGCGGGTCGGATGCTATCTTGTCTGTAGCCCGTCACCACTGTCTCCAGCATAACAACACGCGAATCGCTTATTCTGACGAGAATACCCAAAAGACTCAGCCGTCCTTTCTCTGCCGTCATCACATAGTTATTTATATAAAAAAGCTACACTGAAAGCGTAAATCACACAGCCGATTTCAAAACATCGAGAAAGCCAGTGTTCAATAGCAGACAATAAACTTCATTTTACTTCATTTTTCTCATGCGTTTCTCAAGTTTTTTTATCATGCGTGTCCAAATCTGACGCATTATTATTTTCTGCAGATAGCCGTAATTGTTGGTAGTTTATTCCTGTTAAAATGGAACTGACAATAGGCCCAATTAGATTCCTTTATGAGGTGCCAGTCAGGTGAGTTGACCGTTAGGTGATGGCGTCCCCTCCCCTATAATCACGCCACACAAAAGAAGTCTGGTAACGGTTTCTGCGCGTGTTCTGTGGAGGGTTACGATGACGATTCCCTTATTTACAGTACACATCAGGACAATAGGCGGTGCTGTCAACAGTGACAGACGTGTCTTTACTTCACAACGGATTGTTAAGCTGTCGAACCGTTAGGTGGTAGCGTCCCTTCCCGACACTACAAAGAACATCATTGTGAATAATGGACATGTAACGTGAATTTCTATCTTTTGTCTCTGACAGTGTATCTACCAACAGTTTCGCAGTTGTACGTAAGGATTCCTTCTCAGCAAACAGTCTGTAGGGCATAAATCGTGTCCATATGCAATTTTCAGAATAAAGATTTTTCAATTCCCCAGAGTTGTTTCCGTTCAAAATTATCAAAATTATATCAAATCAAAATTATTTTACATTTCCACAATCATCTCCCTTCCGAAGCCTACGATACAGATATTTCTGCCGCAGCCAATAAACACCGAATAAAAGACGCCACGACAGCTTTAGGGTACATTTTATATTTTTCGGCGAAATTAACAGGTGGTTGCTGGAACTCGTCTAAGCCCCGACGTAACTTTAGTTCAACTGACGCTACTCGTTCGCTCACCATAATGCATAAACTAGAGCGTTGACGTTGGGTGGAAACGAGGCCAGGCACAGCTGTGCTTCCTGGGCGCTTTAATTTCCCATCCTGTAATATGGAGTCATCAGGTGGCAAATCCTGACCGAGCAAACAGGAAACATCCCCGGCATTGTTCTCCGTGTCATTAGTACCATTTAAACCGCAGTGGCACAGAATTGCAGATTTTTGTTCTATTTTCGTTCGTTTCAAAACATGTCAGGGCAAAACAGGGGCAACAACAATCACGAGGACCTTTAAAAGCTGTCTGACGAAAGGTCAGGCAGATCGGCCCCACTTCCAGTCGGCTGACGATGCGGGAATTTAATTTAGAGCTAGCTTCTCGCTGCACATAAATGCTGCTGCAGTGACGTGGATACTTCAAACGCTATTGGTGCAGCAGCAGGTCATGTAACAGCAGGACATATGAGGGCCCCGTTTACCATTTCCGTAGTTTCATTACAGAATTTCGTGCCAGTTAGAAAGGGGGCCTTCTAACGTTTTATTGAACTAATCGGACCTTTTACTTCTGAGTCGTCCTATGCTGGACAATAAAGCGTGACTGGTTATTGTAATCTCCAAGCAGATAATACGGCGGAAAGGCACTATCCAATCGGCCAAGCGGAGCCCTTCACAGTAATGGACTAGCCTCTACCAGGCTTCGGGAGGTGGCTGGAAAGAGTGAAATAGAGAGATACCATGCCAAGGGAGCGGCAAACTGTCCTCTCCAGCAGATCAAACTCCCTTGGCATGCTATCTCTCTATTTGGCCGATTTCTACTCTTTCCAACCGCCTCCCGAAGCCTGGTAGAGGCTAGTAATGGACGCCGGTTGGCCGATTGGATACTGCCTTGCCACCGTAGGATCTGCTTGGAGTTTAAATTATTGTACATTCAGCATCGCACACAATGACACATCGCACTACATTTATATTCGAATTCGTTGTTCTATCAACTTGCAATCGGTTTACGTACGTTTCATTCAAGAAAATTTCCTGCAATCTACTCCATAGATTGATAATGACTTAAGAAGTAAAGGAAACGCAAGAACTCGTTGCAGAAATACTGCGTACGGGAGACATATGCAAATGGCAGAAACATGATAAATTGCTGACCCAAAACTATTTGATATGCCGGTTCCTGAAGCGCTCGTCTGAAAAGTTTTATTCATTTTTACTCATTTTAAACAACGTTGGTTATGCTTTGTTCATCAGATGGAAATCTGATATTTCAATCTCGTCGTACCAGGTAGTCCTTTATCGAAGAATCTAGTCGCCTCAGGCAGAAGGCCGCGGAGCCATGCGAGCTCTTGGACCCAAAACTGGGGGTCGATGCACCCCACCAGCGCGCTGCTCACGCCTGAGCGCCCCGGCACAAAGCCCGGCCCGTGCCCTGTGTCTGTCGCGTGTCGGTCACGTGGCCAGAGCTAGCCGGGCCCTCTCCTCACGGCCTTCCCCCAACCGAGTCAGGAGCAGACGACGCTCATTAACAATTTATGATCGACATCATCGTGTT